CACCCACATCATTCCTTCTTTCAATCCTCCTTTCAAGTTCTCAACTCTACACGAACGGATACGACCTCATCGAATAAGCAGATGATGAAGAGTATGCAGAATAAACGCTTCGGAGTGGATAATGAAGGTGTGCAATACCTCATACCTTGTCTAGACAACCACCTGAAATCAATTCATTTAATAACGTAACCAGACATTTGATCAAGTAAAACTCTTTGAGCACCTCGATAATCTATTAAGAAGTTCAATGACATCAGAATCTACTTGAAGCTCGATGGCTGCTAACTGTATCTGAACTTTGACAACTGATACAGAAAAATAATTTGAATCAAAAGAGCGTAAATAAACGAAAAAATACTTGATGATACTCACCTTCCAACAAGTCCACTCCATGTTCCTCCACATCGTCTACACAGCATCCCAAAGACCCGGACAGGAGATTCGATAAGCGCAACGGGGTGGGAAGTCGCAATTTAAGCGGGATTTGGTGGTAGTGGTGGTGGTGGAATAAGGATATTACCCGAAATTTGTTATCAACTACCCGAAAGGACCAATGGGAACTCTTATGTGGCATGAGACAAGAACGCGAACTAGGGAAGATGTCCAGAGAAAGGAGATAGTCAGCCGAAAGCTGCTGTTTGTTTATTATTTCAGGTGACTGGAACGGTATGCCGACGACGACAATATGAAGTGATAATAATACAGTGCGCAGCATAAATAGCAGTAGCATAGTAGCAGTAGTAATACTGATAGTGATACGATATGATCGCAGCAGTGATGACGACGGCAGTGATGATTGATTGAGATTGTATGTGGTGTGTTGAGTTGTTTGAAAATCTTACATCTTGCATGAACTTCTTGCAAACGGCACGCAGATCCTTTGGAAGTGTAGCGCTGAACATCATCACTTGCTTTTCTTGGGGTGTCATCTTCACTATTTCTTGAACGTCACGTCGCATATCTACAATTTATCATCCTTCATATACTCACTACTCAAATAAGCCAACACTACTGCTAATCACATCTTCTGCATTGACTCATTTTCCAATTCATTTCAGTGGTAAAGTTCGGTTGTTCACTGTTGACAAACACGCAATTTTTGTCATCAATGCGTAATTTCACTGCATCTGTGGCCACCGACCAGACAGACGTCCGTCTAGTGTCCATCCAAAAAAACCGTCGATTCCCAACTCCACTCATCAATGCTCTCCTCCAAATTCGCTATTCCCTGGCGAAAATCTCCCAGTTTTAACCTCGATACTAACTACCCTGATGAGGACTTAGATTTCCACCAGCTTTTATTTAGATTTTTAAATCGTCAGCTCAATTCATCCAATACGACGGAGACCAATAACCTTTCTGCAGGAGATAATTTAAAAAAAGATATACATTTATCCCTAAAATCAAAAACTGACCATTATCACCAATCATTTTGTCGCATTCATCCAGCACGAAGTATTTGATTTTGTTCANCTTGTCTTGCCAATTGTAGTGTACGACCCGGCGTACCGACCACAATGTGTGGCGTGTTGTTCTTCAACAACTCCTCATCCTTCTTGATCGGCATTCCACCAAAGAATACACCTATTTTAATGCCTGGATAATATTTACTGAAACGTTCGTATTCTTTCGAGATCTGGAATGCCAATTCACGTGTGTGACACATCACCAAGACTGACACCTGAAAATATTTCACTACTTATGTTCGTTCCAAAAAAATTCTCATACTATGTGAGCGTTTCACTTTTTAGTCTATTAATTGGAGATAGAGATGTTTTGAATATGCAGTTTTGTTCGCCTCTCAATTACATCTATTGACTCTTAATTACCGTCTAAAATTGAAAACAAATTCAACAGAACAACAATTCACTTCAAGAACCTGTTTCTAAATGAAAGTTAACAAAACGAAATGAATCACATCAGCAGTAATGATATTGTACGAAAACTCAGCGAATTTTTCCACTTGTGAGAATTCAATTAATCACCTCGCCATCGACCGGCTCAAGCTGTTGTAAGGTTGCAAGCACGAACACAGCCGTTTTACCCATACCTGATTTGGCCTGGCACACTATATCCATACCAAGGATTGCTTGCGGGATACATTCGTGTTGAACTGAAAACAGCGATTCGATACATTTATGAAAACATTTTCAATTCTTTTAGCTCATTCCTGTTTAATCCAATGATAGATTTCTAAATTTGAACCGTCAAAACTATTACCTTCTGATGGATGCTCAAAACCGCAATCAACAATCGCGCGAAGAAGCTCCGGTTTCAACAGGAAGTCACGGAAACCACTGCTGTGTATCGAAGCGTACGTGCCCTGACATTACATGAACACTTTACTGCATTCTTCGAAAGACAAAGATGTGATCAGTAATGTTATCTTCCATAAGAGCAAAAATTCTATGGGACATCAAGAAACCGGTACACTATAAGATTTAAAGGGATCTGAACAATGAAGTGCAACCGTTCGAGATCATACAATCGAATAAAAAACATGAAAATTCGACGAATCGAGAAGTCATCTCATTTAAAGAACTGACAATGAGAACATAATAAAATCAATTTTGTGATCAGCTATCCCATATAATCTAAAATGTGATGACAAGCAATACCTTGATTTTCTTCTCGGCTGCCGTTCCATTTTCGGCTTTGGTCGTATCGGTTGCCTCTTCTTGCTCCTCTTCGTAATCCAAAAGTTGGTCCTCGTCCATGTTTGCCATTTTGTTTATAGTCAACGAAACTGAAATCGAACAAAACCATTGTTATCTCAAAAGTTATCTC